TGGAGGATTGTCGCTCGTACTGGAATACATGTTTAGACTCTGACCATGCTCTAATACGAGCACGCATTTGCTTGCGCCTCACTGAACACAGAAAAGCAACATTAAGAAGACCCACTAGAATTGAATTCGGTGACAAGAAAGCCAAAATTGGAATTCAGGAACAACTGAAGTCACACTTGGACCAGTTTAAAGACGAGGCTGACCCATATGTTGCTCGGAAAGGTGTAAAAACAGCTGTGACACCTATCAGCGATTCAAACCAAACGGTTGCGAAGAACCAAGAGACATATCTACTAAGTTCATTGCACTGATGGATTTTCATATATACATCTCATCGGGCTCTGAACACAATGAAGAACGAAAACAAATTAGATCTAGGCAGATCAAAAGTCAAAGGAATGACCTTGAACAGTGGTGGGCAACGAGAGCAGAGGAGAGGGAAAAGACAGAGGCTATAGGCAACAACAGACAACTCTTCGGAGTAATAAAAGAAACCGGGTATGAAGAGTCAATTCTAAACGACACAATCTCAGAAAACGCTGAAACGGTAAACTGTTCTCAGCTCAGACGTTTAGAAAGAGGGCTTGAAAACTATAGTGGTGTTCAGCTAGCATTCAGATACTACAGATCAACCCACTATTGCCAAACAACCTGAATGGAATATTGAAGTAGGTCCGCCGACTCTAGCTGAAGCGCAAAAGCCTATCGCAAATCGGAAACCAGGAAGATCAACCGCTCCAAATGAACTGACTCCAGAGGTCGTTAAATGTTGTCCGATTTTAGAGATAAGGATGACCAATATCTCCGATAAAACCTGGGAGTTCAATTTCATCCGGAAGATGACGCAGGTATTTGTAAGTTGACAACAATTTAACCAGCAACACCTATAAAAGAATCGTGCCCACTCAGTGAAATCAGAACTCAGAAGCGAGGGGGGACGGAGATATATTCGGTAGATTACAAATATATCGAGAAGTAACTGATCTGGACTGGCTAGCGATTGCAGGAGATTTCGAGAACGGTGTTTCCACTCCTGATCTGGTGTGGATGCATGACCGAGCGCCTTCAGCTAGGTGAGTCCATTAAAACTAATGTGTTCAGCATCCAATGTCGAACACTTACAGAGCTACTAATTTTGGGGATTTATTTACTGCTACACATCGCTCCCTACCTGGTGGGGGTAGTGACAACCCATAAGACGTGGCCAGACAGAAGTTTAAACCCAATGAGTTGGTCGTTGGTAAACACTTCTGATAGCGTACTATGTTCAGCAGCGTCTGGTCGTCTTTCCTTACTATGAAGTACAATATAGTAATAAAGAAAAAAGGACAATCAAGATTACGGATCTGAATTCCTACACGAGCAGGCTTACAAACTCAGTGCGTTCAGTTAAACCTACTCACACTCGACCGCAATCAACTGATGTTTTCGTTCAACTAGACATACGACATGGTACACATGTCTTCGTACGTCGAGACTCACATCGACGACCTCTCAAAACAGCATATGAAGGACCCTTCAAAGTTCTTCAGGGCGAACCTAAGTACCATACAGTCGATAAGAACGGAACGAATGATAACATCAGCATCGACCGCATCAAAGCAGCGTATTTAGAAGGGAATCCTAATTACGTCGATTTTCCTTCGGTACAATCAAACGACACGGTTACCACACTTGTTATATCTCATCCGACACGCACGTTGATGCTTCGTCAGCGTCTGAAAATGAACTCAAAACACGTTCTGAAAGAAGAGTAAAATTCCCAGAACATTTATATATAACAATTGCACGTAGGGCACAAGCTTTATCCCGAATATCGTTTGCATCATATATTATGAAATAATTCAATGTGCTCTTTTTTGTATATTTATTCCAAACTACTTTTTGTTGATAAGTGTAGATTTTTTTCATAAAAGAACAAACAAACAAAATAATTTTTCAACCGCTTTTACGCTGTCGGAAGCGTACTTTCTTTTATGATTACTATACTGTATTTCATGACGGTAAAAGGAACGATAGAGTTTACGGGGAAGCGAAATTTTGATTGTACTTTGTTTCTTTATTACTATATTGTACTTCATAGTAAGGAAAGACGACCAGACGCTGCTGAACATAGCACGCTATCAGAAGAGTGTTTACCAACGACCAACTCAATGTGTTTAAACTTCTGTCTGGCAACGTCTTATGGGTTGTCACTACCCCCACCAGGTAGGGAGCGATGTGTAGCAGTAAATAAATCCCCAAAATTAGTAGCTCTGTAAGTGTTCGACATTGGATGCTGAACACATTAGTTTTAATGGACTCACCTAGCTGAAGGCGCTCGGTCAAGTTGGACTATTTGGTGACAAAATATACTCAGAAGAAAAATACCACATGGTCAAATAATTTGTCGAGGTTTCCGTGTGTTTCGCAAGCCGTTGTATATCATCCGTTTTAGTCCCATTGTTTTTGTTAGTCGTTATGAGATTTATTAATTTCTTTTATAAACTGTTGTTGACCCTCAAGTTAAAATCGTAAAACGCGTAGCCATGTGAGAGCATTTCGAAGGGGAGAGCTGACTCTCTTCACACTCGGCGGTACCAGGGCATTTGCGGGCAAATATTTATCCGCAAGATGGTGCTCGGAGGTAGTCGACAGGAAACCCTGGACCTTGGTTTCGTGTTATTTGGCACCCTTCAGCAAGGTATACCTGTAATCTTCAGGGAAATGATGCTCCCTGACGAATTCGATCCCGTGTCGCCCACCTCCACAGTCAGAGACGTAATCACTGAGCTATCCGGGCCGCACAACACTACAGTGACCAATAAGAGATATGTCGAAATAGGCTCTAACTATGATTCTGATTAATACACTGACCTCAACCGAGGAGTATGCACGTATCAGTACACCTATGACTATCGGACTTTCAAAATGAATGAAATTGTCAACACCCATTTATTTCTATCTGTGGCTAAACTAAATATTGACACTAACCAACCGTAAAACAATATTTTAAATTTAGAGGACGAGAAACGTTTCCTTAACACTCTTAAACCAGTACTCAAGTTAGTGAAAAAACCTTCCAGTTACCCCTATACAGAACAATGTCATGCACGTAATTTGTCATCGTCTTATCGTAGCAGATAAAACTCTAGAAACGTTAGGCAAGGGAGGTATAGTCTTTAAACATATCTGTGCTAATATTAAGTAAAGTAGGTAATTCTGGAAATCCCCACTAGACTTAATCAATTCAGATGACAGTTAACTGTAAACTCTTATTTGACTGATGTTAAATTTACGAGACAACAACGCGGAAAGATACTCCCGTAAAGTCTGTCGACCAATAAAGTGGGTCACTGTTAACAAATAAGCATGCCTATTCTTCAAAACGTTACTTAGGAAGAATGTCTAATCAATCCATTCACGTTTAGATCCCAAACGGTTAATTTACGCGAGGTTGCTGTCTTTACATTTCATTTGAGCGTCGAGTAATTATAGAAGTTGAAACCATATTAATGTATCTGACTCTGGTTTTTCTATAAGGGGGTTGCTGCTCCTAAGGTGGGAGTATCTATGACATTTACATCTTGGTAATAAACTCTGGAAGGTTTTTCTTTAGTGGTGGACTTCTGCTTTAAGTACTACGCAAAAAATACGTACGATGCAGAATCAAGCGACTACCATCCTTTGAACGCCTTTAACGATAACTGACGTCAAAATGATCTGGTCGTGTCCATCGTTGTGTAGAAATGATAAAACAGTTGATGAAACAATAAGCATTGTGATGTGTTACACATCCGGCTACCACGTACCAACATGCATTATTGGCTAACATAAAAGTAGGTCGTTAGAAGAATGGTCGTCCCCAAAGGAAGATATAAGTTTATACGACTGTCCTCTATAACTGCGAAATATTTCTAGCTGCTACTGATCGCAACGAAACGAGACTCCTTTGTCGACTCAAGGGAGAAAACAAGGCTAGAAGCAGACTAATTTGTTCACCAAACACTTATCATATGACATCCAAACCAATTAATTACACATCATTTTAAGTGTTTGATCAGTCAATAATTTCAGATCAATCGAACTATTTGTAGTTAATCAGTAATCTAATATATGTATAGCATTTGCAAAATAAATGATATATTTCATCATCGAATCATATATCTGTTCTATTCCTAACACCTTCCCCCTAAGGATTGAAGTTTCTTTTTGTTTTCACTTTGACTTTTGTTGTTTGACAAAAGTGTTTGGTTAGAAAATCAACGTATAAATTTGTATTCTTCTAGAGTGTGGCTTTTGAGTTCCTCGTTATGTATTATTTCTGTGGTAACATTCATAACGTGGGATTGCGCTGCGATTCTCTTCAACTGGTTTTCGATTTCATTACGACCATTTGACCAGCCGAAATTCTGCAGCCACCACTTCTGAGTATTGCTTGGCGGTCGGAATCTTGATTTAATTTATTGCCTTCATCTCAGCCATATTGTATCGGTCTTCTTCTTCTTCTTTCAAAATGAATGAAATTGTCAACACCCATTTATTTCTATCTGTGGCTAAACTAAATATTGACATTAACCAACCGTAAAACAATATTTTAAATTTAGAGGACGAGAAACGTATCCTTAACACTCTTAAACCAGTACTCAAGTTAGTGAAAAAACCTTCCAGTTACCCCTATACAGAACAATGTCATGCACGTAATTTATCATCGTCTTATCGTAGCAGATAAAACTCTAGAAACGTTAGGCAAAGGAGGTATTACTTTCACTGAATTGAATTCACTTAAAGCAATCAAAGCAGTATTGATGCGTAATTAAACGATCAGTACCAGAATATATACTCAGAGGAAAAATATCACTGTGCTTTTTAAATAGAATGCTCAGGTTGACGAAGTTCCACTAGAAGAATTAATTTACCACCTTACAAGTAGGCATACATTTTGAACCCTCTTGATGAATCACTCCCATTACCTTAGTTCATTGTAGAGACGTCTGTCTTGTTTAAATCCCTTAGTTTTCATTTTATTGTGGCGGTACATAGCCTTCATTTTCGTGTCTTAGATTCTTTGGTCTTTTTAATTTTCGGTTGACTCATTTATGCCAGTATAATTTCTATTGTATTTTACATGCAACATCTCACTACTTGCTTTCCTTGCCAATGACGGCTTTCATCCTAAGTTTTGGACCACATCAGAGGACGATTTAACACAGTATTATGTTTATTATTGTTAGCATGACAAATATCTTCTTCAAAATCAACTCAAAAATAGTTAGCTTTGTATTCTTTGTCATTTTATGAGCTTGTGAATCATCACTGCGTCATTTTACCCTGTATCAACGGTCAAGCTATGAATTGTTCTAAAAGAGTTCGTAAGTGACTTCCTTAGCCTAATTTGACGCAGACCAAGCTTTAGTTTGCCACCAAACTTATTAGTACTTAATGCCATTTTAGCCTCTACAGCTAATCTCACGTTATTAACCTGATTCTGTGAGAAATGTGGCAGTTATATTTCATTTTACCAAGCGAATCATAAATCACGTCCCGTTTCACTTAGTGCGGATTCATTTCGCTTAGATGACTTCCGTATTTCCCAGCGTTAAGTCACCGGTTCTTTCAATTAGGGACCTACTTACATTTGACGAGGGAAAAATAAGTGAATTGTGAAGTACTGTTTCAAGTTTCTTCCGGAAAGACTCCTGGCAAGTTTTTTTGACTACCTTACACGACAGCAAACTCCGACACTACTACTTGTAAAAAGGTTTCCCCAGTCTAGTCTACTGTGTTAGGCTCTAATTCCCGAGTATCCTCTAAACTCTGCGTTAGAATAGTTTAAGTAGCGAAAGTAAGACCATTATACTAAGGGGTGTCGCCACGAATAAAGCCGCTTCTTACGAATGGCAAAACAAAAATTTTTTGAGCTAGATGCGTCCTTGTTTAGATGCTTAAGTCCCTGACTGGGCTTGAATTGTGTTACTGAATTTAATCCCTAAAAATAAGTCTTGACCATGATCTAATTAGAAAAGTGAGAACTTAACAGTCCTCTTATATAAGAACTCTCGTCTAAATTAGAGCGAATAGTTTCAAAGTATTTGAGCACCGAGTTGATGTAAGACATTAAATAGGAATAATATATATTTATAAAATCTCAGCGAATGAATTTGTAGTAAATTATATCTAATAATTCCTTGAAAAAGCTTCGACCAGATTGCCAGGCGAAACGTTGGATTAACTACAAATTTATTCGCTGAGATTTTACAAATATATATTTCTCTTTAATGTCTTAACAGTCCTCTGTTGTCAAGATTTTCATCTTTTACAGGTGCTTCTCCAGAGATCTATACGATTGCGGTAGGATGAAAAATCATTTCGCCATTCTGTGACTTGAATCAACCGTCCACTGCTTTATTTCTAGTAGTTGTAGTTCATGCGACGGTCACCAATCTGCTAGCATATTCATGCACATATATGACAAGTAACATGCGTCTAATGGTAATAGACATCCTTGATTTTGTGTTACTAAATTCAATAGAATTTACTTTACTAGGATAAAGGTTTATACATTGTAATGAGACAAGCGTACAAACGACAGTTCTGGTACCAATCACTCCTGTATTTGTTAATTGTCGGCCGTAGATAAAAACTGTTGTCAAATCTCTCAAGTTAATTGACTCGTTTCTTGATTTGGCACCCTAAAACTTCACAGCTCAGTAAACTTTCAGTCTAGTAGGGGTTTTGTATAGAAACGTATCCGTCATTACCTCTTGTATCGTGATCGTGTGCAGGTCCGTAGTTCGTTTCAGATTTTATGGGCATAATAGATCCATTAGTTTCCACTTAGAGTACATAGTTTTGTATTTATTCTTAGAGAATGAAGTAAATTTTATGTTTTCTGTTTTAATTTTTAGGATTCCAAGTCATATTACTTTCAATCTCCACATAATAATAATACATTCCAGGCCATTAGAATGAATTCTAAGGTATTAAACATTTTTATCTAATCCTACCTCAGAGTGATATGCGTGTACCTAAACCTCCCAAACCCCCTGAAAAACCATTAATGCCATACATGCGCTATAGTCGAAAGGTTTGGGAGCAAGTTAAAAACTCGAACCCACATCTTAAGTTGTGGGAAGTCGGAAAAATTATTGGGCAAATGTGGCGTGAGCTTCCTGATGATGAAAAACTACTGTATGTCGAAGAGTACGATGCTGAGAAAACCCAATACACGGAATTGCTACGGCAGTACCATAGTTCACCAGCATATCAGGCGTGGTTGGTGGCAAAGGAAAGAGGTATTGTATTTTAATAACTTCCAATATTATTCTTTAGCTGAGAAAAGCATGGAAGAACAAGACCAAGAGCGCAGGCAATCAATTTTAAGGTCGAGAGACCGTGGAAATGAGCTTCCTCAAGGTGATTTAAGGGAGTCATATATACTAGAAGATAACGAAGAAGGTAATCTCTGATTCTCGTATTTTAGCTTTAAATTACATTATTGGATATGAGCGCCAAAATATACTAAGGGATTTCAGATATTCAGTCAGTCAGCTACAACCTAGGACCAGGCACAAATATGTATCAATCCAAATTGCCATACCTTATTAGCACAACAAGATAAACACCAAATTCATAATAGTTAATTTAATGGTGGTAATATATATTTCACCTAGTAACATACTACTCTTAGTAGTGATATAGTGTGTTGAATCTGTACATTTCAAGCCTCGTGCCGTCAGCAAAAACCTATGAGCAAGATGGTGTGCTATTTTTAGAGTCGAACTTTTGTAGCTCTCTTCTTTCACTCTGAAAAGAGAGCGTCGCTGAAGGTACTGATTGTTCAAGTAGAGCACCTTATTACGGTCACACCTAAATGTTTAGTCGTACGATTTCACCCTCAAAAAATTACTTGCTACTTTTATGTTAACTGCTCTGGAACAATTTTATTTGACGTGGTAAGACCTAAGAATTGGACGTTACAACCAATACAGCTCGATTGGGTCATCACAATATTCAAGCTGTATCACCGACTTAAGGTAATTTCTACTGTCGAGTTAGGAATTTCGATTTATATTGCTACAGATCAGTCTCAATGTCAGTATTCCCCTCATACATATCTTTTCATTCCGTCTTCCCAAACCATATCCTTGATGTTTATTTTTCCCAACTATCATCGGCACTACAGTTATCTCGACTCCTTTGTTTCTTATCTTATGCTGCTGTACCATGGCAGTTTGTCCAACATGAATTTGTGCCAGGTTCTACGTTGGTTATGAATAATTGGTGGTTTGTATGTGTACAATGTCCGTGAGCGTGAATAGACCTTGGAAATATGACGAATAATTATACGTAACAAACCTACTTTTTACTTGGATGTTTATTTTTATCATAGATACTGAAGACCAATTTACTGCGAAGCATGTAGCGGCCGCTCGTTTTCAGAGAAATCATCGTCTCATGCAAGAAGTTTTGAGTGATACGAGACTCCCTGATCCTGGTCAACTAATCACCCAAAGCCGTCTTAACACTTTGCGCTTGCAAGTAGAGCAACTGAAAAACCATAAGCGCAATTTATGTCAAGAGATTGAAGGGTGTGAAGCAAGACATCAAGCCAAAGTACAGCGCATTCGTGAAGAATCTGAACGTTTTCGACTAGACTATCAAAAAACAACAACAGCAAGGCCAGTCATCACTGAGTCTCAGTTTGCCGATATGATAATTAAAGCGAAGTATGATATGCAGCGTGAAGAGGAGGAGCGTAAGACTCGTTATTTGGCGGAATTAGAAATCAGACGCAAGCGTCAACAGCAGCGGCAGCAGAGAGAAGCGGAGTTATTGGAATCTGAACGCAGACGTCAATTACTACATCAGCAACAGTTGCAGCAAGTTCATATAAGACCGAATCAGGCAGTCCCACCACACAACGACCCGAATATTCACTTTGGTGACCGCTCATTAGAAAGACTGATGGCACAGGTATTTACTTTATCGTAATCATTCTGAGTTTTTGCCTTCATTGTTTCTAACTAACTAGTTTCGTTATTACAATATACCTCGTGTACTTACATACCTGTTGTTGACTATTCACTTGGCTCTAGGTTCCGATTAGAGTAAAAGCTATTTCAGGGTATCCAGACATAAAAAAGACCAGTCCATCAACAAAACTTTTGAAAGTAATCTAAACATCTGGTTTCCAGAAGATATTTCAGGTGTTTTTTTATAGCCATAGGTAAAGGTTCATCAGAATTCTTGCTTCATCCATCTATGAACACTGTATGATCAGAATTTGTTTATCAACTTCATGCACCAGCCGTCTAAGTCATAGCAATAATCGGTCGACACTCCAGATCCATATGGTAATTGCAAGGGTTTTATTGCTTGGTTATCTATGTCCACTTCAATGTTCCTGGTAGACTTATTACCTGGAAAGTATGCTATCATACACTAAATTAAATTTTCGAGATTCTCATTATTTGATTCCAGTGACTAGTATTCCCCAACATGGATGGCTTCTCTTGTTTATGTATTAATTTGATCGACTTACTTGCAACATCTAAATGATGGCAATTTTACTGATACTGAATACGTTTTATTGTAGATCGTTCAAAACGTCATGCTTCATGTGCACAACTTTATTTAGTCTGTTTGCGCTTTATATACGTCCTCTTTGTCACTTAGTTGATCCTCTTGAGTTTTTAAAACAAATATATTGATTTATTACATTCACATTACACTCTTATGTATCAATGCTTCTGACTGAATGTTTGTAAAATTGTCTTTATTTTCTGTTTATATCTTGTTCATCGGTTGTTCTACTCAGTATGTCTTGTTTAGTTCAATCAGTGTTCTGTGGTTACACTTTAAAGATGACTTTTTTGATAAATATGATGACTACTTTTTTGGATATAGTTTTATATATATTGGCTGTTAACTGTTTTTATTAGGACAAAAAAGAAGATACGAATTCACAACCCCCACAAAAGTTGCCTTCTGCTTCAGCCAATTTATTGTGTCCTGCAAATCATCCGAAAGCAGCTTCAGAAATTGGACATGAAATCAACCCAGGAATGTATGCTGGAATGGGAAATACATTCACACAACCAGTTACTCAAAGTTCATCGCAAAGGTTTCCTCAGTCCGGTCATACACAACACCACTATCCACCCCCACTACATTATGTACCCAACGCCGCGACACCGGCAAATCCACCCGTTTTAATTCATCAGCGTAGTCCGGTCCCAAATATACAACAAGCAGCACAAAACAACACAGGTAAACCAAATGCAGTATCTTTAAGCCGTACCAAGAAAGTTCCTTCATCTGCATCTTCTACTTCATCGGCCTCTTCTGCTTCATCAACATCCTCAAAAAAGAAAAAGGTTGATTCAGACCTTGTTAAGGATGCTGCTGTAACCACAACTAGTCAGGATATACGGGAACGACCTATTTCTCGGTCTGGCGAAGGAGTAATGGATCAGACTAAACCTGGTGACTTTGGTATGACTCCTGGACAGTCCAACGAATTTCAGCAAGGATCTACAGCCCAGTCAAGGCAACTTATTACTTCTCAATATCAACCGGTCCCACCTCCTGCTAACCCCGTCGTTCCTGCACAAATTTCGGGGGGCCCGGTGCAGACGCCCTACTGCTACGAAATCGGCAATGGGAATCCATCGAACCCCACTTTGTCTGCTGGAACTTATTACCATCAACCTGTCTCCGTTTCTAATCCTGTCGGCTACTCCCATCCTCGCCCTCAGTTTTCACAACACACTCCCTACAATACCGTACAGTATCATTCAGTTCCGCCACAACAATCTGCGGAGCATCCACCTCCCCCACCAATGTATATTCAGCACATGCCACAACAGTCTCATGTTCCTCAGCTTGTCCCACCGATGGTAGGACCCACTCAACATCCTTCAAGCCATATTCCACCCCAGCAACACAACTCAAATAACTGGCATCATGGTGGTCCACCACCTTATTCGCCACATTATGGTCAACCCCGCTACCCAGTTTTAGGTGGCTCAGTGGGATACCCAATACAGCCTCCGAGAAATTTCGGTCCCAATTCCAGCGGTTATTCAATGCCTCACTATCTTGTTGGTCAACACGGCCCTCAAACCCACCCACATCAAAATATTTCATCAGTACCTGTTTCTATCCAGGAAGGCCCTGCTGCTTCTCAGCCAATTCCGGCACCACCGCCGTATCAACAACAGCAGCAGCCGAATTCTGTCGTCAGTTATTGGCCTACACAACAACAGGTGCCTCCAGACTATGTTCAGAGTCAACACCCATCTCATTACATGCCCGGATCCCAGACTGAGCCAGTCGTCCCAAATCAACAAACTCTGTCATCTGTTGATAACGTCCATCCGTGCTCTACTATGTCGGTGTCCTCTGCAGATGTTGGCATGGGTCAAATGGTGTCTAACCAGTCTCAAGGAGCCAATATTTATTACCAAGGTAGATGGTTTTTCTATGTGTTTATACAGTTCATTAAAGTGGACTGAATTGTTTCACTGCCTTGAAACCGTTACAAATTAAATCTTAGGTTGCCTATACATAGATATTGGTTTCTGTATCAAATAGAGAGCCTTCCAAACCGCAGATTACTTTCTAATCCGTCGTCTACCATAGTTAAAGGTATAAAGTTACTTATAAAGATTATACGCAGCATGTTGATACAAGTTTCATACTCTTTTTTGCTGTAAGCCATGCATGACACCACCCACCTTGATAGAACCAGTGAGTATTATTCGTACTCAATAACTGTATCAACTAATGAGACTGTGCTCGAAAGCATAAGTAGTTAGTAACCATTATAATGTGGATCTCAGGTGTTTAAGACACACATAAAGACTTTTAGCTCCAAGGGTTGATATAACGAGGTATAAAGCATATGCTAAAAATGTGCAATTCAAAACTTATCTAAAAATTTAGCACATCTTTCAATTTATATTTTACTATAAAACTGGTACTAGATTATACTTACCCAAGATGAAATCTGTCCACATATTCGTTACCATTTTTGTCCAGTTTTGCCAATATTTGGCAGCAAGATGTATTCGATATAGTCATGTTTTTGTCGTAAGTTTTATCTAACAAGTTAATAATTTCCCTTAATCATTTATCAGGAGTGCAGTCATCAGCAGTTGTTTGTTATATTTAGATCATGGTATTCTCATACTAAAGTTTAAATAATCTACAACACCAGGTTCTTACCTTAGCTGGCTGCAAAAAGTAGTTCAGCTTTGAGATAGTTCTCTTTCCGTGCTAACTTTAGATAGAGAAATGTTTGGCTAATCTCCGCAACCAACTACCTAAACAAAAATCTTGTCCTTATTAATGCTTAACATTAAGATGATTCCCCTTATTTTTAATGGGAAATCGCTACCGTTGAAATCCAAACATATCGAAAGTAAGATAACCAGTAATATTGAATAGTCGTCTCATTTCACCACCCATGAAATGAGATTAAGAATTTAGACTTATTCTTATGAAGTTAGTAGGTTCTTTGCGAGATTCGAAAATTCTAGGTTTGATCCATGGTGGAACACAATGCGGATTATTGAGATTAAACCGTACAGCTTACTTATTGATGGAGTGTGTACCGTCTGAATCAAAGGAACTGATTCCCAGTTATCAGTTGGGTGAAAATCTGTGGCTTATTTGTTGAAATATGATGAGTGACTAGTTGACAAATCCTTTTCTGAATCTCATAGTTCAATTAGAGACTCAGAGGCTGTTGGATTAGTTCCTTAGGTTTTCCATTTCAACATGGGTAGCAATACGTATACTTTTGAAATCTTAAAAAATTATTTATTGACGCCAATTTCTTCCTAGGTTGTCCTGTACCATCATATACCCATGGTAGTAATGTGGGGCCCAGTGGATTTTATTCTGTACCACCACAACATTACACGCCTCATCAACACAGTGGTCATTCTTGGTCTGGTTATTCTAATTCTTGTCCTTCACAAGTCCCAGCCTATCCACAGTCACAGCAACATGCACACCACCAGTCGCCTCAATGCAGTACGGGTGCTTCTTATCCTATTTCCCAAATATCAACAAAACCGGACCAAACTGCGGCAACCGTTCCTGGGGATAATTCAACTAGCGTTGGTGCCTCTGGAGGTTCTAATAGTCAACCGTCATCTACAAATGACAAATGACTGTTTTTATGTCAATTTTAAAGTCCTATTATCTGTCTTAATATTTTGTTTTTAGTAGTGTAAATTATATTTCCTAAATGGTCAATATTATTTTTAAAACTCAGTGGTATGATAACGTTTTAACACTCCGGTATCAGGTCAGCATAATAAAGAAAATGAGTTCTCCTGAGTCATCTCAAGTCACAACTAAAGTCTTAAATCCTCAAGGAAAGTGATTAACTTGTGTCTAGTTCTAATTAAATCTTATCTCGCCACTGGACGTAATTCCATTTGACTGGTCCCTATCACTGATTGTGCCAGTCTATAAGAAAGGACAAAAGTCCTCCTGTGACAATCACAGAGGGATCAGTTTGACTAATATAGTGTCTAAAATATTAGCTTCAATAATACTAGGTCGTCTAACCAAAGCTCGTGAAGAGCAGACTAGAGAAAACCAGTCTGGTTTTCGACCTGGACGTGGTTGCATAGACCAGATATTCACCCTACGTCAGGTCCTAGAACATAGACACAAATTCAGATGTCCCACAATCGTAGTATTTCTTGACTTTTAGGCGGCATTTGACTCCGTTGATCGTGAGGTTCTATGGCAGTGTTTGTCAGTGAAAGGAGTACCAAAGAAGTACATTAACCTCATAAAGGCTCTCTACTCGAACACGACTGGTCGAGTTAGAGCCTATGGCGAACTGTCATCAGAACTGATTACCACAAGTGGCGTTCGTCAGGGCTGTCCACTCTCCTCATTCTTGTTTAACTTTGTCATTGACATACTTTTAGAGATTGCTTCAGTATTCATTATCGGTGGAAGCATTCACTTTCAACCAGACAGTGACTTTAGATCGTTTAGATAGGACAGATTTTCCACCATGGGCGAGCTGCTGCATAAGTTGAAAAGTAAGGTTACACAAATTGGGGATAAAAGGGGGTGAGTTAGCGATATGGTGAATAATAATAATAATAAAGGTAATAATAATAATAATGTAAATTGTCTTGCTTTTAGTATGAGTAGGGATATTATCGTCAATAGAGTTCATCATTTCATTCATTTGTGTGTGGGCTGTGATACTGCCCGGGTGCCCAAACCGAAGCAGGTGGTTTTCTTAGGAGACCACACGAGCCTTTGACCTAAAGGTCTGATCCACAAGGCAGTGGAGCATCGTGAGGAGATGCAGTCCCATGGTAGTCGTTGACCAATGATAGGTTCTTCCGCCATTCGTTCCATCAGGATACTGGAGCCCATGTGCACCATTGGTTTGGAATCAGGGTTTTCCAACTTCCCTAAGTGGACCCTCCGTGTCCACCAATCCGGTTATAGCGCCGGACATTCGCTTTTCGTCCTCTCACTTTCGTAAACAACACCCAGATATCAGGGTGGCCTTCGATTCGTTGGACAGGACTGTTCTCTGGGATTGTCTATTGAAGAAGGGTGTGCCTGAGAAGTTCATTAACATCTTAAAGGCCCTGTATACGAACACCTCAGGCAGAGTAAGGGCATACAACCACCTTTCTCCCTTGTTCCATTCGAGCAGTGGGGTTAGGCAGGGTTGCCCGATCTCACCATTCCTCTTCAACTTTGCCATCGACGACATCCTGGAAACAGCTCTGGTGGATGTAAGTAATGGCGGTGTGGATATGTTGCCTGGAGAACGACTTCTCGACCTTGAGTATGCGGATGATATTGTCTTACTGTGCGATAATGCCCAAGGCATGCAATCAGCACTTAATCAGTTGGCAATCAGTGTCCGCAGGTACGGTATGTGCTTTGCACCCTCCAAGTGCAAAGTACTCCTACAAGACTGGCAGGATTCTCATCCTAGATGGTGAGCAGATCGAAGTAGTTGAGAAGTTCGTGTATCTAGGTAGCTATATAAGTGCTGGTGGTGGCGTGAGTGATGAGATTGATGCACGTATAATGAAAGCCAGAGCGGCTTATGCCAATCTGGGCCATCTTTGGCGCCTTCGTGATGTTAGTCTGGCTGTAAAAGGTCGGATCTACAACGCGTCGGTGAGAGCAGTTTTGCTCTATGCTTGTGAAACCTGGCCTCTCCGAGTTGAGGATGTTAGACGTCTCTCTGTGTTCGATCATCGTTGTCTCCGAAGGATTGCTGACATTCAGTGGCAACACCATGTTAGTAACGCAGAGGTTCGGCATCGTGTGTTCGGGCGCAGAGACGATAATTCAATTGGTGTCACCATCTTGAAACACCGACTTCGGTGGCTTGGACATGTTTTACGAATGTCGTCCCAGAGACTTCCACGTCGTGCATTATTTGCCGACTCTGGGACTGGTTGGAAAAAGCGGAGAGGAGGTCAGTGTATGACATGGTGTAGTGGCATGAAAGAAAGCTGCAAAGGGCTAGCTTCTGTTGGTCCTTCACGACTCCCTGGTTGGGGTCCGAGAGATGGTGCAACACAGTGGCTAGAGACGTTATCAGATATGGCTGAGAATAGAAGTCAGTGGCGATCCTCCTGCAACCTTCTTTTACTTTCTACATAAGGAATGGTTCTAACTTTCTTAACTGAAAGAGTCTTCTGATTGTACATTCCAGTCCGCCTTATCTTTTCATCCCTTCTCTTCCTACTTTCATTATTTTGTGTGGCGCATATGTACCTGGTGCCCTTTTGTACCAATATATATGTGTTTAAATAAATAAATAAAATACTTTTAGAGATAGCACTTTCATCAGCTAAACCTCCAGGAGTTGAACTTTTACCGGGAGGCTCACTTGTTGACTTAGAATACGCCGACGACATAGTTTTACTCGGTGAAGACGCTGACAACATGCAGAGTCTTTTGACCACTATAAGCGACAATACAGGCATGTTCAGGATTCGATTCTTTCCCTCGAAGTGCAAAGTTTTACTTCAGGATTGGGTTGCATCGACACCTGAACTAATGATAGGGAGTGAAGTAGTTGAGCGTTTTGACAGCTTCACTTGGGAGTCTCATCAGCCCTTGTGGTCTGGTATGTGACGAAATCTCAACACGGATACAGAAGGCTCGTCTAGCTTTCGCCAACTTGCGTCATTTATGGCGTAGGCGAGATATCCATCTAGCAACAAAAGGACGGATTTACTGTGCAGCAGTTCGTTCTGTCCTACTTTATTGCAGTGAAACATGGCCCATAAGAGTAGAGGATATTCGTAGGCTACTAGTTTTCGATCATAGACGTCTTCGACGGACTGCTCGTATATCCTGGGACCACCGGGTAAGTAATGCAGTTGTTAGGAAACGGGTACTAGGTAGGGATGGCAAATCGATTGATGGAGTAGTGAAACTTGATCAGTTGAGATGGCTGGGACATGTGTTACGTATGCCCGACCACCGACTGCCCCGACGTGCAATGTTTCATGGTGTAGGAGTAGGTTGGAAGAAAGCTAGGGGTGGCCAGACCAAAACGTGGCACAAATCAACGAAGTCACTGAAAAGTGGACTGGGCCATGTTTGTAGGTGTAGACTACCTGGTTGGGATTCGCGAGATGATAGCAACCGATGGTTAGAGACCTTGAATGACATGGCTCAAAATCGTTTGCAATGGCGAAGGTGCATCCACTCTTTGTGTTCTACCAAATCCTAATTTTCTGAATTCTTCATGTCCGTATCCTTTTTCTCTTTCCAAATTTATTTCACCGTATTATACTCCTTCAATAATTTCTTCAAACCCTAATCTTTTGGATTTCTGATTATACTCCTACTACTTCTACCACTATGGGATTTGAATCGACAATTTCATCTCTGTGCTAATGTGGTATGGCAACTCGAACTGATGTACGTACGTACGAAGTTCTACGTTGTGACTGACTGACCAAAAAAAGGATTACGCAACTCCGTCCATTAAAAGAGGGTTGCTTGTCGACTGAAGAGTTAGAGAAAATATATTAGAATGAAACCAGTCGCATAGGAGACCACTGTTCATTCGACAAATAGGAGAAAGATGAAAAATGAATTTAGGAAATGACGGTGATATCTACGAAAATATAAGAACGAAACCACTTGGAGGGAATACTGACGAATTTACCTGGAGTGAAAAAATTAAGTTACGGTCACGGTAAAATCAGAGCTCTTAAGTGCCACTACTGTACACAACTCACTTTTAAAATAATGAATTACTAAAACCTTTGCATTGCGCAAGTTGTTAATTTATGCTCCTTTCGGCCCAAATCGCTTGACAACATAGACGATTTTTGATAATAAATCCAGTGAGGCAGTGCGACCCAAATGGTCTTCCAAAAGGTTATCTCGCCCTGCTAACTTGTCTATTACCTATCTAACTGAACCAGTAGTTATATAATGAATCGACAATAAGATAACGAAAATATGCTATTTGTTGTGTGTGGGCCAATCTAGCTGCTACTGTGGGGTCTTTTATGTTGGCCTTATACTTGAGTGCTTGTGAACGCACAGAGGTATGATTAGGGTAATGAATCACAGTCTGTTGACACCGCTATCCTTTTGTCACTTAGTGGATAGTGACCATCAAATAGAAGAAGTTTCATCGGTTTTATATCAAGTTCTGAGCAAATAACCTAACGTGTGAAAATATCAGCTCTCTCTATATATGAAACTGTTGAGATCAATTTCAGAAAACCTAACTTCTCCATCCAGAACAGGTATATTCAGCCTACGTGTTTACCACGACCAATTACTTGATCGACATATAATAAAAAAACTACCACTATTTCATTCTTCTTACTGATCAGTGCAGTGCTCCATTCTTAATTTCCACAATCATCTTAGTTTACATAAAATTTATATCATTATTATGATAAATGTTCTGACAATATTTCTTTCATTATATTGCACGTGACTTATTATTATTACTATTCCGACTAATTCGACATAACATTTTGTTATGATAAGAGGTATTCGAATTATTATATGAACTGGGAATCCCCAAAATAGCGCAATTTAGACCAAAGAGAACCATGTAAGCATAAACGAACGCATTGTATTTGGGATTCAAGATCAACCAGGGATCAAGTACAAAAAATCATTAGTTCAGACACACATCACAACCGCCACATCTTAATTGGAATGTAAGTTTCTGTAATCAATTGTAGAACTTCTCCTTGGGTTAGTCAGTCAGCCACAACGTAAAACCAGGCGAATACATGCATCGGTTCAAGTTGCCATACCTCATTAGCACAAGATGAACAAATTTATAGTAGCAGTTACTTCGGTGGTAGTAATATATAAAAAAGATTACATATAGGGGTATAATACAGGTAGAAAGAACTAGTTCTTAGAAGCAGAGATATAAAGTAATTTTAATTTCATGGTTTGAGGCAAGACAAAGGGTGTATACACCTATGCCATTGTGGTCGATTCTGAGCCATGTCACACAAAGTCTCCAACCATTAGGTAAGACAGTCACGCGGAGCCCAACCAAGTAGTCTGCATTTACCAACATAGCTCAGATCAGAAGTTATTGATTTTAAGCACTGGTGCCACGTGTCGGTTTAGGTGTGAAGATACCACTAGCGTTGTAGTTTGACAACAATTTAACCAGCAACACCTATAAAAGAATCGTGCCCACTCAGTGAAATCAGAACTCAGAAGCGAGGGGGGTCGGAGATATATTCGGTAGATTACAAATATATCGAGAAGTAACTGATCTGGACTGGCTAGCGATTGCAGGAGATTTCGAGAACGGTGTTTCCACTCCTGATCTGGTGTGGATGCATGACCGAGCGCCTTCAGCTAGGTGAGTCCATTAAAACTAATGTGTTCAGCATCCAATGTCGAACACTTACAGAGCTACTCATTTTGGGGATTTATTTACTGCTACACATCGCTCCCTACTTGGTGGGGGTAGTGACAACCCATAAGACGTGGCCAGACAGAAGTTTAAACCCAATGAGTTGGTCGTTGGTAAACACTTCTGATAGCGTGCTATGTTCAGCAGCGTCTGGTCGTCTTTCCTTACTATGAAGTACAATATAGTAATAAAGAAACAAAGTACAATCAAAATTTCGCTTCCCCGTAAACTTTATCGTTCCTTTTACCGTCTTTCCCAGCCGTCCTAGAAAAAATGTAAATGCATGTCTAAATACAATCGTACGCGCGTAAGAGCTCAAAGCAGGCGAAAAGAGGTGAATAAACTCGTACACATGCTATGGTGTAAAAGCGATTTTTGAAGGATTTTTGGTTGTGTTTATGAAAAATAATTAAATATACACATTTCAGCAAAAAACTGGTTATTTTCGGAATAAATATGTAATTATAAGCATATTTAAGTTTTGCTATATTTAATAGAAGGGAAAATCAAGATAAAGCAAAATGTTAACTAGTATCATATGTACAATAGTCATTTAAATGTTCTGGGAATCTTACTCTTCTTTCAGAACGTGTTTCGAGTTCATTTTCAGACGCTGACGAAGCATCAACGTGCGTGTCAGATGAGATATAACAAGTGTGGTAACCGTGTCGTTTGATTGTACCGAAGGAAAATCGACGTAATTAGGATTCCCTTCTAAATACGCTGCTTTGATGCGGTCGATGCTGATGTTATCATTCGTTCCGTTCTTATCGACTGTATGGTACTTAGGTTCGCCCTGAAGAACTTTGAAGGGTCCTTCATATGCTGTTTTGAGAGGTCGTCGATGTGAGTCTCGACGTACGAAGACATGTGTACCATGTCGTATGTCTAGTTGAACGAAAACATCAGTTGATTGCGGTCGAGTGTGAGTAGGTTTAACTGAACGCACTGAGTTTGTAAGCCTGCTCGTGTAGGAATTCAGACCCATGTTCGTTGGAGATGAAGGATCCATGAATTCTCCTGAGAGTCGAAGTGTCGTTCCACAAACAATTTGAGATGCAGTGTATTCTATTTCAGCCTTCACTGCATTGAGGATACCTAGTAAGACGATTGGAAGTACGTCGGTCCACTGTGAAACGTTTGCAGCTGATAGCGATGCTTTTAGCTGTCGGTGAAAACGTTATGCTAACCCGTTTGCTTGTGAGTGGTAGGCGGGTTTTCGGAAGCGAGTGCTTTCTAGTAGTGTGGTCAGACAACGGAAAAGTCCAGATTCGAACTGGCATCCACAGTCTGTAGTCATAGTTGAAGGGCAGCCGTAATTTGCTACCCGTCGTTCGACGAAGGCGCAAGCCACTGTTTCAGCAGTAATGTCCTTGATGGGTACTGCTTCTGACTATTGAGTGAAACGGTTTACGCAGGTTTAAAAAGTAGAGAATCCACTTGAATCTGGCAAGTGTTCTGCCAAAGCCAGGTAAACATGGTCGAGACGAGCTCAAGGTATATTTGCTGTGTCTATTCACCTCGGATTTCTGACAGCTTACGCAGGAGCGTGTCCACTTTCTCACGTCTTTATTCATATCGGGCCAGCAAAACCGTTCTGCTATAAGCTTAATGGATGCACAAACACCTGGATTAGAAAGTTTGTGCAACGTATTCAAGACGTTGCGTCGATAATGTTTCGGCACGATTGGGCTATCCCTACCTGTAGATGTGTGACATAGTAAGGTTCCCTTACCTGTTCCCATGTGTTTGATGTGTAGCTTAAGGGTTGTTAAAGATAACACGTGTTGAAAACTATTGTCTTCTTTTTGAAGCTGAGCGAGTTTCTGAAGGTCGATCCCTTGGAAACTGTTCAAATGGTTGAGGACGGAATAGAAGAAGCTTT